ATAAGTACACTGAGAATTTGACACTCCAAAATAATATATATATATATATATTCAAATTATACCACAGATAAATCTTCTACATTTGTTCAGATAGTCAGATGGCCCCACGTTGGGCGCCAATGTGTTACCTTTCTATATGAGACTCTTGAATAGGGTCGTAGGGCATCTGACTCATTGATAGTTTGAGTGGCAAGGATATAGAATTTCTCCTTAACTATATCCTCATAAGGAAGATCAAAATTAAAGAAATGAAATCAAAAAACAAAAATTGGGCACCACGTATTCTATTTAGGGAGAATACGAAAACCTTCACACTCAAGTATCAATGTAGAAATGTAGAAATGTAGAAGTAAAACACAAAATTTCAGCTCCAAGAATATGAGTATAATGATATTAATTTGTCAGTTCTGAATTTACAAGAATTTTGCTACATAATAAGGTCGATGAAGTTCGTCTAATTATAAATCAAAGTTCTATGAGCAAACAAAAAAATGTGTATAATGATATTACTGAATCTATTATATTTTGAAGAAAATTAGGTGATAATTTGAATGGAGTGTCAATTTCTTCCAATGGCCACACAAAATACCTCTATCCAGAGCTGTACAATGGGTTCCTGTCCAACCTCATGCATCCTGATTAGCTGGGACTTCCTCGTTCGAATTCCCTAGAGCGTCGAGTATTGAAAGGGAAGGGCTGCTTGGTGAGGATATTATTTGGTCCTGAGTACTCGTAAGGGTAGGTTTACATAAGCAGGCTCTCTTCTACTCTTTATTCGAAAGGTGTTCCAGGAAAGCTAAAAGCATATGCGAGGCGACAGAGAATGTTCCAGCAGGTGAAGTGGGGGTATTTTGCAGTGTGCCGTTGAAGTGAAATGAAGAAATTGGCAATAAAGGAGTAGCAAGGTTGAAGTTGTCCAAAATTCGATCTTGGAACAATGTGCATCCAGATCAAGTTCATAAAGTGAAATAATTTTTGGTAATGAATAGCAAAAATGTACTTTTGCTCAAGTTAAACAAATGCAACACTGAAGGTGTTGGAGTTGAAAGAAAAGTTAGATAATAAATGTCATTTTTTTTTTGTACTGAAATTCAAGTAGAGGAGAGAAAACAATATATATATTATATGAATGTCAAATTCTTGGTTAGCATGAATTTTAGATATAACCCTTATAAAAAGTACTATGTATTTACAATAATGTGATAATCATTTTCAGAAAATATGATTGAAAAAAATATTTAATAAAAATACCACTAAAATATTAATTCACAATAGGTGACTAGGTGAGCAAAAGGCATTCCTCAATCTGATGAATCGAAATTTGTCTAAACAAGCAGAAGGCAGTATCAAATCTATATCAGACTCATGCTCAGAGCGTGTGAGAGAAAATAATTCATGAAAATATTAATTTAGAATATGTGAGTAGTATGCATTCCTCAAACTGGAAAGTCAGAAATTATCTAAAAATACAAATATTGATTTATAATGAGTGAGCAATATGCAGTTTCCAATCTGAAAAATCAGAAATTATCTGAACATACAAATATTCATTTATAATGAGTGAGCAATATGCATTTCTCAATCTGAAAAGTCAAAAATTATCTGAAGATACAAATATTCATTTATAATGAGTGAGCAATATGCATTTCTCAATCTGAAAAGTCAAAAATTATCTGAAGATACAAATATTCATTTTTAATGAGTGAACAATATGCAGTTTTCAATGGAAAAATCAGAAATTATTTGAACATGCTAATATTAATCATTAATAATGAGTGAGCAATATGCATTTCTCAATCTGAAAAGTCAAAAATTATCTGAAGATACAAATATTCATTTATAATGAGTGAGCAATATGCATTTCTCAATCTGAAGCAAGAATATCTGACCAATAAATGATTACTGATTACTTTCGCATCCCAGAAAAGAAATAGTTCATAGGGAATGAATATTTATCAAGCTGAACCAAGAGGTATCCAGAACTCCTTTGGACCACTGGTCAGACATAGGCAATGTGAGCTGATCACTCGACACTAATTGAAAACTGTTGCAATCAGGTAAGTATCATTAGATTCTCGGATTCAAGTTCAGAATAAATGTGATAACTTACCTTTATTACAACAGCCCATATCCAGTCGAGATGATGCCAACACCAAGTCTACTCAGCAAAGTCCAAGGCCTTTCTGGATAACTCCACAGGTTAAACTCCTTGGGTTCAGTTCAATGGGTTCAAATTTATAGGTCTTAAATCATCCTTTGGTGTATTCATTTCCTAAAAAAGAAAGCAAAGCACGACAGAACAATCCACACAAGCTTGGGAAATAAAATACGGAAATTTCGGTAATTCCTTATCCCAATGGGACAGTGAATTAAGCAATTTCAGCTTTATTAAGAAAAGGGAAGGTAAAGATACTTATGAGAACTCGGAAAAACATAAGCACAAGTCCAAGCTCAAGCACATGGATTCGTTACTCTAATTATTACTTCCTAAAAAGATAGTAAAATCCAAATTTCAGTGAAATTAATGTAGTTTTAATTCAAAGCAACACATGATCTCATATCTAAAAATCGGATTATAGAAGCAAAGCTATTTTCCAAATATAGGAAAAGCGAAAAGCAAAGCGGTAAAATATTAGTCAGATAAACTTACTCTTCAGAAATCCGCTCCAAAAAGAGAGTGGTCTTGAAAATATTTCCTTCAAGATCACCTTCCAAACAAAAAAACCTAGGTAGGGGGTCACAAGAACTTACATTTTTATTGCAATCAGGAATTGAAAAAAACACTTGGTTTCACTAGATGAGGAAAGTTGACAACAGTTTGAATTTAATGAGATGCTATGCATCCTTTTCTAACACATGGAGATGAGTCTACCTTTCTCTGACATTATAAACGATATACTGTGTCCTGGCTAGGATATCGGCCGGCGGAAGCTTCTGCCTAGTGCTGCGACAGATGGAAAGATAAATTAATGAATGTAACCTGAACACAGTTCACGTTACAAGTTGTTGCTTCTTTTCGTTAGAAGCGGCAACGCCGCAGGGCTGAAAATATTTTTGGAAGATGTCCCCCTCGAAAATGTAGTTGACCTGTTTCATTTTTTTTTTTGATAATCTGGTTTTGGCGACCTACAGAGCCTCTGTTTCGTTTTCAAAGGCCCACTCTGTATATCAGTCCGAGAAACAGAAAACGTAAATTTATAGGACATTCAATCTTCTACAACATTGAATGAAACTCCTTTTTATGTCTGAAATGCAAGCAAAAATCTGGAGACAGTACCAATTTTTTCGGTTTTTTCAATATGGCGGCGGGCGCGGAAGAGGGGAATTGTACAGTTTACATTTTGAACACTTGATAACCATCCTAGATAGCATATCAAAAATTGAGAACTACTGGAGCGTTTGTAAGGTAACCTCCCTCTTTGTGTCTCTATTCGCTGGATCATTGTCGATCTGAATGAAAACCTCTAGTAGGCGACCTAGTGCGAGGAGGTAATAATAACTCTCGCCTACTAACTTCCTAACTAGGTTGTCATCTAGAACGACAATGGCTGGATCAACCCTGCTACAGTGTGCAGTGTTCTGTTCAACGTGGTTAATTTATGCATGCCTATATTCCTCATCTTTCTGAATAAAATAACGTTTGTTTGCCTTAAGCAAGTTACGCAATGAATAAAATAAGACAATTAGTTCAGTTAGAAAATATAAGAGAATCTAGTCATTCTAGTCTGATAATATGAAAAAAGTTGAGTTGGAAGTGGATAGAAATTGAAAAAGTAATTATTGGACAGATCATTGAATTTACGAAAACTTCATATTTTGGAAAGAATGGTGGTTGGATAGGTGAAATTGCTTAATAAGAAGGTGACAAAATTGACTGGAATAATGAAAATTGATCAAAAATCAGAATGAACTAAATAGATTAATTATGGAGTTAATCTGTAGCAAGGAGCAAGGCGCCTCCACCACGTGTCGTAACTCAGATGGTTCAAGCAGGATATATAGTAGGCTCTGGTTCAAGCTTTCAAGCAGGTTATATATGGCATTATTGAGAACAAACGGCGCTTCCACCACGTGTCGCAACTCAGATGTAGACCCTCCTATAAGTCGTAACTTAGCTACTCGCTTGGCTTTTTTGACGAGAAGTTTTAATAATTTCACCACCCAACCATATTCATCCCCAAATAAAGAGTATTGTTTTTCAGAAGTACAACAAATAATTGCTTCAATCACGAGAACATAAAAATGTGCCAAAAGGGCGGAACAGCAAAGAACAAACATGAAACGAGCGAACAACAGAAACAACATGATGGTTCTTGGTATAGTATATCCAATGTCAATTGCAGAATATCCCGCACTGCTGTTCGGCGTCGGCGTGTTTGAAGTTTCCTTTGAAGTGACTGCAGGTGCGGCACAAGATTCCGCAATTGTTATTGGATAAACTTTACTTACATTATGTTATGAGCAGCAACGCCAAGGTCGAGGAGATGTCACACCCCCAAAGGGGCATATTGCCATTTTGGATGTCAGCAATCAATGAATGAGTGTTATGTACTGATTTCAATATAATAATTGGTATAGAGACGAATCGAATAACGATTGAACTAATAATGACCATCCTTATCGATTCGGGTTCTATTTATATTCGAAATCGATGCTAGATTCGCAATTTTCCGCAATGGGAATGGCCATTACCTATCGATATTGCTTACCTAGGTAGTATCGCACGGTAAGCGGTTTTTGCAAATTCTAGAGGAACTGACGTCTATGAACTCCGCTGACCTGATCGAAACTACACTGTACTGGATGTTTTAATTTGGAAAAGGTAATTTATGATAAAAGATCTTGAAATGAACGTGAGTTTGAGTGATGCTAATTCATATAGGCATTTATACTTTTGACAGTATTATCAATCGTATATGCATGTATTTCAAAAACTCCAATTTTTTCGAAACCATGACTATTCTGACATTGGCAACTATTTTGTTTTCAAGTATACTTACTGGTGTAAACATTTCCCGGAACATACTTCTGTGGATTTTCGCTGATCTTTATCTCGTAGCCATTGTCACCCGGAGTCTTCACCATTCTCGACTGATAATAACTAGGGGTTCTTCCACAAGCGTGGACGTACCCCAAAACAAGACACAGGATGAAAATTTTCATTTTACGATCACCACATCCCATCACCCAACATCAACAAAAAGTAAGGAACTATAGGATAAAAAAGGCCAATGATTTGCTTATCAATTATTATAGTATGATAACCTAACAGGAGGTCAATAATATATGTGACGGTTTGTGAAATATTTCATTTTGATTGTAGAACCTACATAAATACATATTAGACGAGAGGAAACTTTGGTGACTGTTCGATTATATATTCTGGGGAATATTCGTGGGAAGCAGTCAAATGTGACCAATTTTAGTTACATGTCTTCGTTTACATGAAATTCTATATGAAATCAAGCAAAAAAGAAACGCACCTATGTCCATATATACAGAGAAGTGCACAAAAAACGGCGAGGATTGTAACTTTTGAATTATTCTAGATAGGGTGGAATAAATATTTATAATAGTCTACCCAACAGAATAAAATCTATTAGGCTCGTCACAAAATTTAAGTGTGAACTGAAGAAATATATTTGATCAATTTAACTCCTTTGTTGCATCAATTAATTCTGATTGAACTGTTTATCTTTCATTGTATTGCATATTCGATTTTTTTTTTGTTTCCCTCTATAAACATTTTATGTTATGTTACAGTGCTGGCCGTTTTTTGTGCACTTCTCTGTATAGTCACGACCCCTACGAGTTAATTTCTTCGAACAGCTGAGCTATCAATAGTTATTTATTATACAAGAGAAAAAAGTAGTAGATTTTAGCTCCAGGTTGTGGGAGCTACGCGTATGGAGACAAAAAACCGTGAGCTAAAATCTAATATTTTTCCCGTGTATAATGCACTATTTTTTTCTGTGACAGGAAAAAGAACGAATCAATATTGAGTAGATATATCACATTATAGTTGAATCAGAAAATTACCGAAGTGAAATTTGAAGTTTTTAACAGGAATGACACCAGCGCTGCAGGCATCTTTATCATTCTTTTGGAGTAATCGAATGTCTGTCAGTCTAATTCTCTGATTTGATTTCAAAAAATTGCGAATTCAATGGTTGTTTAGTAATTTACGTAACCGCGAAGTCGAATGGAAGATGAAAAGACGCCCCCTCCCACCACACACACCTTTGCTACTACATTTGATTTCACACTTCTTCTTCTTCTTCTCTGCACAGGTGGGCGGGTGCGTAGACCCCTGCACTCAGGCCTCTTCAGTCGGGCCCATTGTGCGCCCACTTGTCCTGTGAATCAGCTGGGCATGCCGATTTCTTTGACGAAATTCAGCAGCTTCCTCAGCTGAGTCGCTTTCACGTCCTTTGGGTGCAGTACACAATGCTCCCAAAGGCAGCTTTCCTCTGATGCACCCAACTACCATCTTGAGATCCCTTCTATTAAGTGACAGGATCTCTCTCGTGAGCCTTTTTGAAGGTTCCTTTATATGGAGCTTCGATTGTCTCATTCCTGGTGTGTCCCGCCATGTTTCAAGGAACTGCCTCTGCCTCATAACCGTACTATGGGGTATTCCCAATATCGGTTCTGGTCCAATGGGTGTCGTTCCTGAACCGATCTTGGCTAGTCTGTCTGCCTCCTTGTTCACCGGGATACCAGAGGGTCCTGGAACCCACATGAGGCTGACTTTCCTAGTTTTTGCCATATTTTCTAAGGCACTTCTACACTCGGACACCAATTTAGTTGTGATCCTATTGGATCTCAATGCCATAATAGCAGCTTTCTTCTGCATGCCCAGTAGCAGTATATAGCCTTCTTGGTGCGATTACCTATATGCTCATTCCAGGTCAACTTGGAGTCGATTGTGACTCCAAGATATTTGGTTGAGCACACTATTCCATCAAAATCCATGGCGACTGGGATAATGCACTATTTTTTTGTTTGGATGTTTCGGTCTAACGGCCTCATCAGTCACACTCGGTCTGCTGACAATAACTCTTCTTTTTTATTATCATATTCAATTCAATGACACCTTATCTCTATAAATAAAGAGAAAACAGGTTCTTTGAATTGAATAAGGGGACCTTATAATAGTCACTGTAACTTCAGGATACATGTACCGCCATCTGTCAGCGGAGTGGTTGACGTTTAATATGACACTACTCTGTAGCTAGTCAACAGAAAAGGGGATCGATAAAATAACATTGAACTCAATGTAAACAACTACATTGTGCAATGTGAAATAAGTTGTCTGTGGAATCGGCAACAAGCTCTTCTTATATCAGCCATCATGTTTTAAATTCAATCCTTATCATATATACAACTAGATGGCATAACATTCCAAATGTCTATCAAATGCTAAAGATGTGCTGCCATCTACATGCGAAATTCCAGAGTATCCCATTGATTTCTGATTTTATCGGGAAATTTAGCCGAAAAACAATTGTGAGTGACCGTTGTTATACGGGAGAGAAATTCCCGTATTCTTGGGAATTTTTGGAGCGTTGAGGGAAAAAGGGGAGGAAGGAAAAGGACGTTTGGGAGGGAGATTTTGATAATATCTCCAGATTCTGTATTCTGAGAATAACGATAGTTGACGTTCCAAAAGCAATTATTTTGTGATCTGAACACAGAATACATAGCACATATAACTATTATAGAATGTCTATTTTGTTTTGTGGTGGTCGATACTCGGTGAATAAAATATAAGGAAATATGTTTGTTATATATACTGTCTGGAGCTTATTATACGAGGAAGTGGAATATTCATTTCTATATAATTTTTGGGATTTTCTCTGCTTATTTCTATGAATTGAAATATGATCATTTCAAGGACAGATAGATGGTTTGCCATGGATTTGCCCCAAAATGCCACTGCATGACTAAAAAATCAGTTAAAATCTATCTTTCATCGGGGCACCTGTGACGTCAGAAGACATGCATCAGTAATCATCAGATGAATAAAAGAACACGCCTATTGTCATTCGCGATAGAAAATAGGTAAGCATACGCCACCTATCGGAGTTATTGGAAGCTGTTTCATTGGTTCACTTTGTTTGTTTGTTTATTGCTCATATCATCAAAACTCTAAGATCAAAACAAACCGCTCAGAAGTGTTCAAGTTGTTGTCGTCAGGTGGAACGATGTTTTATTTTCTATCGCGAATAGCTGCCTATATAAATTCAGTTCAAATAAGAGCAGGTGTATTCGCCATTCAATATAGGATTTGTTCTTTGGCGCTAGTAAAAAATACCTATCATGTCGCTGTTTTATAGTGGGAAATAATATATATTTCAAGTAGGTCTTCGGAAAATATATTAGTAGGTATACTTATGCAAAATGATAGAACACCTTGTTTTATATAAATTTTATTCTGATAACTGATAATTTACACCTCCAAAATGTCATGTTCTACTATGAAAATTTATTCATATAAAAATACTGTTTGAAACCAAAACTAATCCTACTGGAAAATGTTTATACATCATGCACGAATAAAATGAAAATCAAAACATAAACTGACAATTTGATAAGAAAACTAAAATGTTCATCTCAAAAGCAGAATAAACAACAGGAATTTCGTGATTGCGCAAAATGGAAACAAGAAATAAAACCAAAACATTCAGCGGCAGAAATTCGGCACTTCCACCCTCTGCTTCTTCCTAGCCTCCATCCCCTCGAAAAACTCCTTGATATCCTCCTCCCTAACAATCTTCTTGTTCTCAGCGAACTTCTTCAAGTACTCGCCCAGGCGTTCCTTCAAGTCATTGTAGCCTGCGATGCAGTCCACCAGCTGCACTCGGTTCATGGACTGCATGAACTCCCTGTTGTGGGTCTCCACCACCTCTTGCACCTTGGCTTTGCCCTTCTCGGCGTACAGGTGCACGGGGTCTTCGGAGTCTAATAAAAAGGCTACATCCTCGTTCTCGTACATCTTGAGGCAGTCGTCGCAGGTGCATAACTCTTTGCGCCAGCTCACCTGAAATGTCATTGGGTGTTTCACTCATCCTGATGGTCAAATACTGATGTTTTAAAATTGTTACTTGAATTTCAAAGTATATAATTTGTATTTTCAACATGTCAAGTCAATTTTGTTTCCAGAAGCATCATTTATGTTTTTAATGAGTGATTGGGATATAAAATTTAGTCTTGGTCTGTACAAAATCATTAGATAATCTGAGCCACCAAATGAACTTGGTGGTTGAAAAACCCTAGGAAAGAAAGAAATACAAGATCCAGAAGGGTGATAGTATATTACACAGCAAGGTGGGAAGAGATGCATTCATTCATTCACAATGATTCACATAAGTGAGAGCGGGAAGTGAGGGGCGGGAAGTAAAGGTGTGTAATGTGACACTTCCCAACCTTCAATGACAAGTATTACATATATGGGGTATGTTCTGTAAATCAACTTGGTTATTTCCGTTTCCCGTTCGTAAATATGAAATGTTGGGTTGGTTCCTGAAAAAAAGGTTATTTACAGAACTCGGTTGCTGAAAGAGTGGTAGATTCGCTGTCATCCGCTGTCACCAGAACGACCGTGGATTTTCTCTGGTAAGTTCAGCAAGTTTGAGTTGACATGTTTTAGTTTATGATTTGATTCCTCGATTCACAAATTGAAACGAAAATCTATTTTCTAATTTCAATCATTGCCTCAAGTTCCCATGGACTGAGGCAAATAAATGATATTGATATATTTTCAGTAAGATGACGTTTTTTAATTCATTTCAGGACACTACATCCTTTGGTTGTGCTTACTTTGGACAAGAATTATGGACTTTTGGGTGCCACAATTGAAAATCAAATACTGGCAGACATTGAATGTTTGAAAAACGATCAAAAATATAATTTGACAAATGGCTGGCATTCCGCAAATAATCCACAATGTAGTCACCAGTGGATAACCACTGTCAAAATTGTGGGTATCAGCCCTGAAAGCATTGGTAACCTTGGTTGATTAACAGAACATATCCATGGTTGTGAATGAAGAAATGATTCATGTGCTAATGAATTTATTTATTTATTTATTTAGGATTTTAGGTTGCATAGAGTACAAAGTACCAAAATAGCATCCACATTATAGCTATGTGGTGAGGCAAGTTATACATCACTTATATAGTAAGCAAAGGAAATTTAAAGTACATGATGTGAAAGAAGATAGAAACATTAACATTGTTACAAAAGCTGTTATTACTGATTATGATTAGGTAGATCAGTTTTGGAATAAAATTATGAGTTTTGAAAAAGAACCGAGAATAGAACTGAATTTTAAAATTCATATGACATTTGAAAAATTTTCCATCATCAATACAAATACATGTAGAACTTGTAATATCTTAAATTTCTATTGTTATGTTAGATTTTTCCTCTGGAGTGTACTATGCCCTAGAGGTTGAAAAACTTTCTATAAGTACCTACCTATCAAGCAAAGACTGCAGTATATAATTCTGAAAAAAACATGAAATATAATATGTAGGAGGTGATCAATTTCAAGAATGTAATCTCCAGTTGAACAGGAACACCCTTTTGATTACTGTTTGAAGTATATCTGGTAATTTCATATTGAGTTTGATGAATTTTTCATAACAGCTTTTTGATGTCATAAATTTCAAGATACTCAAGTGGTTATTTAATGTCATGGTTGTTATTCCATTGAAGTGTACATAAATTGTTAAAATCACCCTGCTTCAAATGAAATGTATTCCTGAATTCAGTGGGTATTATTAATCAATTTTCTATTACATTTGAAATGTTCTCATAAAATTATCAAAAAGATGATGACAGCATATTTAATATAATTATTATATATACAAAATTGTCTTCTCAATTTATTGATAAATGATGGAATTGACTTGAAAGATAATTCACTCTTCTAATACTATTTATTCAATGATGGAAACTACACATTTTCAACTTTATTCAAATACTTTTCACTTATTCTAGTATTTTATGCACATTTCCAAATTGTTAGTGGCATTTATTAATAGATTTCTTTCTCTTATTGGGAAAAGTAGGAAATTATTACTTCAACACAATTTCAAGCAATTTGGTTCCAGAATATGCACTATGGAGCACCATGTGAAAATATACATTCACATATAACTAGAGAATTAAAAATTCATAATCCATAAATGGTTATATAAATAATCACTAACCTCTGTCCAGAACTTGGCACTAATCTTTGGTGACTTGTATGAGGGTTTTTTGCAGTAACTGTCAACATTTTCTGCTTCTGATGAAATGGAATTAGGAGTACCTGTTACATTCACATCATTCTCTTCATTGGTCCTGACAACCCTATTCAGACAATGAGCATCATAATGAAGCAGAAACTCATGTTTAGTCACACAAGCTTCACAGATCATTTCTGAAACAATTAAGTTATGAAATCAATTCTAAATGTATCCATGTTCAAAGTAAGAGAGTGCTTCTAGCTCAAGTAATTCAATTTAACCTAATACAAACTAAGAATATTACCAGCAAAATTATTTGAGGGTACTTCAGTGCCCAAATGTCTAGTGTGATACCAGTCCTCACAAATGATGCACTGAATCATCTCATCTGGAACTGGATCTTCAGCATCTGGAAAAGGCCTGTGGCAAACACAATACATGCCAGAGAAATTCTGGTTGTAGGAATTCAGATCATTGACTGCACTCTTCTCTTGGAGCAGGTTACATTCAGTATTTGGAAATTTGCCATTTCCACAATCACAGCGGAAGTTTCTCTTGGTATATAACTCCACCAAGTCATGACCATCATGGCAATGGTAGCTGCATGCTAGACAAACTCCAGCAGCCTTTTCAGGGTCATCTTTTGCCTCAGGTATGCAAGTCAGGCAAGAATACAAAGCTTGCCGTTTCAGGTATCCCTGGGAAGTGTGAAAAAAAAAGTTTATTTGAAGAAATCAACAATAAAAGCAACATTATGGAATGACTAGTAGAGCAAGGCTTCCAATGGGCTTACCTCGACATATGAGCAATTCTTATCATTAGCAGCACCAAGAACAGCAGCCGTATTCTCAATCAGTTCGTTTTCGAATTCCAAAACATCATTCAATGTAAAGGTGACAACCTGGTCGCCTTCCTCAGCATTTTCTAGATTAGGTTCTTCCACATTATCGTCAGACATGTTGATTAGTAAATACTGAATAATTGATTGCAATGTCTGGGCACGCAACCGATTTTACAATCAAACAAAAAATAAAAAGATCACAATACTTTTGACGACTGTGATTTGATTTGACAACCGGAAAATGAAGAGTAGAAAAGAGAGTAGAGGCGCAAAATCTCAAAATCTGTCAACAAAATTTAACCTCATCAAAACGGCGGGAGTGTAATCATAATCTTCTCTTTTTAAATTCCTATTTCGTGTTCGAGCTCAAGCCTCATACTCCATTCTTCTTATTTCTTCTTATTCATCTTTTTCTACATTACTTTGCCTCCTATCCAGAGTTGGACATCCAGTCTATATAATATACGAGGTGGATTTAAAACGGCCCCCTCCTTTTATATACAGAGTGTATCTAAATAACACCGAAAACATTTAAGAGGTGATTCTGTGATCAAAATAAAGGTGGGTGTTTGGTATACATTTTTTGAAAAACCTCGCTCCCTGGAAAAGTTAGATTAAAACACAATTAGACATTTTTTTGGATACACATTTTTTTTTCAAAAAAACATGGCTGAAAAGTCAATTCATTTAATAACTTTCTTATCTCTGGAAGCTTTTCGAAAACCTAAGTATTTGCCATATTTTTTTTTTAATAAACATCTTTATTCAAAGAAGTTGCAACATGTTCTCGAGAACCAGTCAGAATCGACCATTTTCACGGTTTTTTCTGTTGGTGAGAGTGGTTTAAACCATTCGACAATTTCTTTCAGGTTCCTTTGATTACTGAAAGAAGGGTTTGTCCTCTGAAATGACCTTTTGTCAAATTTCATCCAATTTGTTTCACTTATATTTGAACAGCGTACAAAAATATGTTTTTTAATGTAAACTTCGAATTCGTCTCACGGACAAACGGTATATATTTTTTTTAAAAATAAGTTGGGTCCAATCAACTTATTTTGAACTGTATTTCACGACGTGGTAGCTCTGTGTCCCAGCAATTTTGAGACACCCTGTATATACTATTATAATTATTATACAAATTGTTACGCATTTCAAGATATCATCGCTTTCCCGAATTTTGCGCCACCTAATCCACCAATTGCACTTTAATTTAATAGACCGAAATATATAATTATTATCTGCTATTTTATTAGAATTTTGTTTCATTTTATTGCCTTCTTCAATTTGCTATTTGTTTTTTAATAAATAAGCCTAGATTTGCTCATTTATTGATGTTTTATATTTTTTCTTAAACATATTAGGTATATTTCCGACTACGCCACTGGGCCAGAATATTCACGTGACTTTCAGAATGTATCTGCACCAATGAAATGTATGTAAACAACTGGAAGGGACCCACTGTGAACGACGAGTGAGGCAAAAATATTTTTCAGGCAACCCGCAGTGTTTACGGATACCTATCTCTCTCTATCTTGTGTTGGCTAATGGGAAGCGCTCGCATAATTTGAAATATTTTCTGGTTTTTTGCTTCTATTTAAGAGTAAACGTGATTAAATAAAAATATTCATTTAGAAAAAAGGATAATGTTGTAATCAATTATCCTTAAAAAATTATTACTGATTTTTTTATCGACTTTAAAATGAAATTTCAATATTACTCTTACAGGATCAGGAAGTCAAATGAATACAAAATTAATATTATATATTTTTATTCAAATTTCACAATATATTGTACAGGGTGAGCGGAGCACAATGTCTCAGAACTATCAGAAGGAAAAGAAAAACGATAGGAAAAATTTGAAAAGAGGTTCTTGAAACAAATGCTGAGGAAATGAAAATATACTGGGTACAGCATCTGCTTTCAAAAACCTAGCAGTACCTGGTATGCCTAAATAATCTGTTGGCAGGAAATGCTCCCCACAAAGCTTGCTGCTTTTAGTTGGAGTCCAATTCTCACTAGGAACTGCCTTTATCCATAATTCGAGAATGTCTGGTCTTTTGAATGGACAACTGCAATAAATAATATTACTCAATATCAATATGGAAGTATTTAACTTTGACATAAAATAGGTATAGTTTTTGAACATATTCTGAGACTGGACATTTTAAACCTAACTGATGATCATTTCATGAACTATATTTTTCAAAAATCTAAGAACAATATTCAACTTACCCATATGGAATGCTAATTTCCTTTTGTTTTGTTCATTCTTATTGCATCCAAAGGCGACACAATAAATCACCATTGTTTATCAATACTAATCACAAACCTTCTCAACAATCAGTTCAGTGTTCACAACAACAAATTCAGTCCTTTTGTTACAACAAAACACGCCAAATGAATAGATATTTCACCTCGTATTTCACATGAACTAAGACAATGAACTTATGTCTTCACTTTCTTGCCTGTGTAGATGACAGAAAAAAATTTTTACTACTTTAATTATTAGATAAAAGAAAATTTATACACCAATCCACCATTAAACAACACGAGTTGGAAGAGGACAGGTATCCGTAAATCATGCTATCTTTGTTGCAGCTGCCCCTGACACACTTTGTGCTATTCGAGAGAACGATCGTATCCCTTCCAGTTGTATTGAGTTCATTGATCTGCACTGCTGAAAAGTATTATACAGGGTGATTCAAAATTCGATGTAAATATTCTAAAGAAGTATTGTTGGGATCAAAATGAGACAGAAATGCACCCCTCCGTCGAGCTACAGCCACTGTGGCACTGTGGGCCCCAAACCTGGGTTTACATAATTTTCGAATCAAGAAGGAAAATAACGTGTCTAAAAACACAATAAGGGGCATTCCAATTTGAGAAGATTTGATATTTGATCCGTTATTTTAAGCCACAATTTTAGATTGACTTTTTTTTCACCTTTTTCACAGTGGCTGTAGCTCAGAAGGGGAAGCGTTTTAGGACACATGTTTAATTGAAGAATAGTATATTACATAATTTCCCTACGACTGTCATAAACAGTAATTTGTCTTTGACAACAGTTCGTTCCTATTATTATTGTTCTTGACAGTTGCTATATGCAATAAAATATACTAAAACTGTGCGATTTGCTTACCGTGCATAATGTATCTCGCGTGCATATTTTCTATAGTGGCCGTAGGTTAAAAGTATTATTTTGATCCCAACAATTAATTTTTTTTCCAATTGCATTTCCTCATTGGACCCAGCACTGGATCCAACGCCCCATAAGTTGAAACTTGTTCCGGGTTAGGAAAGCATACATTTACATATTATGTAATGTATGTCCTTTTACATCGAATTTTGAATCACCCTGTATACTATCTACAAGAGGATACTTTAAGAATATCATAAAGCTTCTCTGTAGGAGATAAATTGGAAAGAAAATATCTTTTCTTCTGGTCACTCTGTAGAGATTTCTGTCAGATTGACACAAAGAAAAATGAATTTAAACTCAATTCTGAAGAGCTTAGATTCATGTGGTTATTTTGGCCACATATTGAGTACAGAAGAAGGTATTGTACTGCATAATTCCCTACTAATCCTCCAAAACGAGAATCATTTTCGGCAAATTTTCTTCTGGGGCAAAATATTGGGTGTTGAAAAAGATTACTATATAGCTTATGGATATTCCAGAGATATTCTGTATGGTAAAGTATATTATTACAGCAGAAATTGTACTGATTGGGGGCTGCTACCTAAACCCACTAAGAATGGACTTGTTTTAACACCTCTATGTACTTCAAAGTTCCAAGGTAATTTTACTTATAGACAATTCCTCAATTCCTCACCCATCAATAGTGTGGTTTTGATTTAATTTTTCTAGGAGATCCTTCTTTGGTAATAGATGTGCTGATAGATAAAGATGAAATATTGATTCCTGGTAAGAGAAAACAGCCAGAACTGAGAAAACTCAAAGAAGAAGATCGCTTAGCATCTACAGTGTATCAGATAATGGATGAGGCTGGAGTGGTTCCCAGAGGAGCCCTTTTTAGAAGACCAGATGGCATTGTAGTAGAAAACTCAAGTTTTGAAGGTCTTTCTACTCTGGAAGCTAGAGAAATAAAATCATTCCTGCATTTCAGACCACCAACAAGAAAACAGAACTCAAACCTATTAACACGTGATGATTTCAATTATGCCATGGATTTTTTGGATCCACTAGATATTGATTTACCTGAAGGATGTTGGATAATTCAGATCACACCTGCTGAAGATATGGCTATAGTGAAATCCATCCATTGGCCGGGTTTGTTGTCATATCATTTTTGTAAAACACCCAAACATGGTTTCATTTATTTTGGTCATGGAAAGAAAAGTTTGGATGCACCTTTCATGCTCAGCCCTTTCTGCATGTAATTTTATGCTAGTCATATTATTATAAAAAAAATAAATTTATTGAATCCATTTGACATTTAATCATAACATTTATACAAATAGTTATTAATATAAGGGTAGCTATCTATTTCCACATTATCTTCATATTATAGTAGGTAAATTATTATTAGTTGACTTTGGGGAATTACAAACTCACTTTTTCTTTGTTTTTGATACATTTGCCTTTGGCTTTCTTTGTAACTCCATTTGTTTCAACTTCATTGTTAGTTTGGTTTGGGTTTGGGAGTGTTTTTCTTGGGATAATTTGACATCTGGATGGAGCATCTTTCTACGTTCTTCCCTTTTAATAGCATCTCCACAACCATGAACTTCTGGCAAACCATGAGTAGTACAAAACCTTCCTTTACAAAACTTGCAGTCGATCGCAAAATCTTTAGTTTTAGATTTGCATTTTGCGAAGGAGCAAACATAGTCAACTGCTTTAACTTTTTCAATAACTGCATCAACATTTTTTGACTTCAGGGCTTCCCGTAATTCATGTTCCTTATTCTTTACATTAGCTTCTACTGTTGTAGTTTGACTGATTGTCCCCGACATTATTTATTTTTTCTGTACAATACTTTTTAATTACCTGAATTCTGAAAATTAGGATTTAAAATTTGAATAACAAGTGTCAAATCTGAAATCAGTCAAAAATCAAAATTCTTCTTCTTCCCTTCAGTTTGAATGGCCTTAGCTGCCTGGGCTATCTGGCCAAGTACACGCCTCCTTAAGTTTCTCCTCAATGGGGATCCACTTCACAGTGGGACTGAAAGCTTTTCATACCCCCTGAGGAACCTGTCAAAAATAATCACTTTACAGTTATTTCAATCTTTCACCACTTGTGCACTAGGAAATCTACAAGCAATTTCAAGCAACTACTTTAAAGCTCAAGCACATTAAGCAAGACTAGTTCTACTGCTTTCACTCTGTTCATTTAAGCACTACTCTAGTGCTTCACTCACTACCTCACATGGCTGTTTATAGACTTAGACCAGAGGATTTCAAAAATTCGCAAATGAATTGGCACTTGTTAACAGTTAAGTTCTCAAATAAAATATTGTGGAGCGACATGGGAAAAAGCCCCGAGGGCTTGTTTTCACTACTGATGCTAGTTAAACCATTATGCAATACTGATAGGTTGTGAATGTTGTGTGAACAACTGAAGAATAAGTGCTCCAGATCCTGCCAGGATCCACAATCACATAGAGGAGATTCTTTAACATTTATTCTGTTTAGGTGACTATTTGTTAGACAATGACCACTTCTCATTCGACATATAGTTGTTATTTCCTTCCTTGATAGAGTTGGAAGACCCTTGAACCATGGAATCCTCAAAGGGTTAGTTACTGATGGAGTATATCTCCTTCCTTTAATGCTGCTCAAATTTCGATAGGTGTTGATCCATTTACTCCAAGCTTGCTCTTTCAATATTATTCGTAGGTCTTGAAAAGATGTCAGTGCAGGATTTATAATTTGAAGCTTGATGTGATTTGAAGTTAGAAATAAAATTCTTGACTGGCCTTTTTATTTTTATTGAAAGATTAATATCTTTTCTATTTTTACAACATTCTGTTTACATATTAACAAAAGAATATCTTAACAACATGTTCATAGCTCTCTACATTTCTTTCTAATCATTTGACATACTTCAGAACCATAGAACACAAAACATAAACTTTCACATGTGTCAATTGTGTCATGTCATGTGTCAGTCATGAAAAAATCTCAACACTCCTCCTCGATTTTAAGTTTCCTTTTTTTATTTTTACAAACAGGAATAAAAATGAAACTTTAAATCGTATAAATACAAATTTACATAATATGAGCTTTATCTCTAAGTCTTACATACAATTCTTTACCTAAAGGTTTTGTAAGAAAATCTGCTAAATTTTCACTTGTGGTCACATATTCAATAGATATTGCTTTATTTTGCACCAAATCTTTTAGATAATGATTTTTTATATCTATATGTTTAGCCCTTTTTGTGTTCTCATAACATTTTGACATTAAAATAGTACTTTTATTATCACAGTATAATACTGGATTTGCATAAATTCCAAAATCATTTAAAATCCCCTTAAGATTAATCAAGTCCTGAGCCGAAGTTGCAGCTGCTACATATTCTGCTTCTGCAGTTGATAAGGCTACACAGCCTTGTTTCTTTGAAAACCATGATACAGGGTTATTTCCATGTAGTATTAAGCATCCACTTACACTTTTTCTGTCAGCTTTATCGGCTGCCCAATCTGAATCAGAAAATGCGTTTAGATGATTATTTGTATCTTCCTTATTTTTCACATAAACAAGTCCTTTACTTTTAGTTGCCTGTAAATAGCGTAGAACTCTTTTTCCTGCATTCCAAGTTTTGTTAGTAGGTTTATCAAGAAATCTACTCAAATATGAAACCGAAAATGTTATGTCTGGTCTAGAAGATGTTGATAGGTACATCAACCCTCCAATCAAATTCCTATATGGAACAGTTACTATAGGACTATCTTCATCATACTGAAAACCTTTTTCCATAGGTGTACTTTTCCCATTGCATTGCTGCATGTTGAAACTTTCTAACAACTTCTCTATAAATCTTGTCTGACTTATCTTCAGTTGATTTTCTGTTCTACTTATCATCATGCCTAAAAATATTTCCACTTTACCTAGGTCTTTTGCTTGAAAATACTCTTTCAACAATAACACTGTTTTGTTCACTTTATCATCATGTCCTACAAGTAGCATGTCATCCACATATATCAATAACCAAACTTTATCACCACAATATAAACAACAATCATACTTTGATCTTTTGAAATTATTTGTTTCTGCAAAATTATTAAAAGTTTCGTTCCACACTTTAGGTGATTCTTTTAAACCATATAGGGCACGTTTCAATCTCAAGAATGGCGAGTTTGTTTTCAATCCTTCTGGTGGTAAAATATAAATTTCACTTTCCAACTTGCCATTTAAAAATGCAGTGGGAATGTCTAATTGCCTAATTTCCCATTCATTCTGCAATGCTAAGGACAATAAAATTCTTATAGTTGATATCCTAGCAACAGGAGCATACATAGTCTTGAATTGATTCTCCTCCTTTATTTGGAATCCTTTTGCTACAATCCTTGCCTTTTTTGTACCATCGTCCTTGGTTCGGAACACCCATTTTGTTTCTATAGCCTTAATTCCTTTAGGCTTATCTTCTTCTTTCCATGTTTCTAATTTCTCATGTGAATTTAATTCCTTCTGTATTGCTTGTTTCCATTCTTCAGTTTTTATTGCCTCTTCATAGCTTTCTGGATCATTTGGTGATGAAAGAAGGCAGTATGCAGAGTATATTTCATATTCATTTAAATACTTAGGGATATTTACTCTTCTTCCTCGGATTGTCTCTATTGTATCTACTCTATTTTCGATTTCCATCTCACTGTCTATTATTTCTGATTCCTCATCTGTATCTGTCTTTTCTATGACTTCATTTTCAATTTTCTTCTGATTGCTTTCATTTTCCACAATAATCACTCCATTGTTCTTATCACCTATTTCATCATTTATTTCTTCAGCTATTTTATTATAATTTGTCTGTGTTTCATCAAATTTTACATCTCTAGAGCATATTACTTCATTTTTCTCAATATCCCAGAGCCTGTACCCGTTTCCACTATAGCCAACCATTATACATCTCTTTGCACGTTTCTCAAGTTTGTTTGCTCTTGGCAACACAACTGCCCAGGTAAGACTCCCAAAAATTCTTAATTTTGATAAGTCATTCTTTTGGTACCATCTTTCAGCTGGTGGAGTGCCATCATTTGCTTTAGTTGGAGATCTATTGATCTCATAGGCTGAGCACAAGATTGCTTCACCCCAAAGTTCCTTAGGTAAATTAGTTTCTGCAAATTTGGTCCTCACCTTATCCATTAGAGTTCGATTCATGCGTTCAGATTTGCCATTCTGCTGCGGGGTATATGGCAGACTATATTCTATTTGTATACCTTTGCTTCTACAAAACTGTTTCAAGAAAGTTGATGAAAATTCACCCCCATTATCACATCTAATCTTTTGAGTTTTCAAACCATGCTGAGTTTTTATTAATTTAATAAAATCAATTAAATTTTGGGCTGCTTCATTTTTAGATTTTAGTAATTTGACAACCAAGAAATGTGAGTAATCATCAATTAATACTTGGAAGTATTTAAAACCTTCAAAAGTAGGTGTCACTACTGGACCAGCAATATCTGTATGAATTATTTGACCAATTCGAGTAGTTTTGTTTTTACATTCATAGAAACTATTTCTAGTACTTTTACCTTCCATACAACTACTACAAATCTCATCACTATAAGGTAAGCCTAATTGCTTTAATCCATATCTATTTAGATGTCCTAATCTCTTATGCCAAATATTTCCTAAATAACACCCATTGGTCATATAACTTTTGATATTATTATGACTTTCTATGTTTAACAAAAATAAATTATTAAATGTTTCACAATAAAATGTAAAATTATTGAAAATTATTTTTGCATGTTTTTCATTAGACTTGTCATTTTCGAATATGACTTTGAATCCTTTTCTCAACAATTGTGAAACAGATAATAAATTATGAGACATACCTTGAACAATTAAAGCTTCTATCTCAATTTCTTTGCCTTGACAAATCCCTTTTAATATTCCTTTTTTCTTAGCAATCAATGTATCACCACTTTTAGCTGTACCTATATTTATTTTTGTTCGCAGCTCTTGAATATCTGTCATAAATTCTTGCAGTTCATCAGTAACCAGGTGTTCTGTGGCACCTGAGTCTAAAATAAAACAGTTTTTATTGTTTAAGGATTCAGTACAATTTAAAGCAATGAATGCAATTGGGTTTTCTGATGCACTGTTGGCTTCTTGCTCTGCGCTTGCATTTCTTCCTTGGCTGAAACCTCTGCTTCTATAGTTATAAGTTCCTCTTCCTCTGCACTCTCCTCTACTTCTATAATCTCCTCTAC